GCTTACAGGGCGTCCGCGCGTTGTTGGCTTGTTGTTGTCGTGGTTGTTGTGGTGGTTGTTGTTGTTGTTGTTGTTGTTGTTGTTGTTGTTGTCGTTGTCGTTGTCGTTGTCGTTGTCGTTGTCGTTGTCGTTGTCGTTGTCGTTGTTGTTGTCGTCGTCGTCGTTGTTGTTGTTGTTGTCGTTGTTGTCGTTCATTGCTGTTCAATGTGAGATCGTGATCGGGCGAATGATGACGACGGGGATGATAGTGATCGCGATCAGGCTACGATTGTTTTATGAGCACCATATATGTCTTCGAAGATGCGAGCTCCTCCGTGCTGTGCAAAACTCCATCCTCGCACTGCTCCGAGGATGAGCTGATGCATGCCATTGTCGACATATGCTCGCCAAAGCCTGCGCCTTGGGGTGGCTTCAGTTGCCTCGGGTGGCTGCAGTGCTCCTTTCCTCCCCTCAGGTCCAGGGCCGCTCCGAAGGCTGGGGAGCTGCGCCGATTTGTGTTTGGCCGCAGCCTGCTGCGAGAGGCTTCAGCACCGTTCGAAACCAGAGTGCACCTCTGTCATGCCCCGATCAGCCTTTTCGATGTGAGCTTCCCATCCATCTCGCAGCTCAGGTCTTGTGTGTGTCAACCCAGAGAGCGTAGACAACCACAACTGTTTCGTCGAGGCCGAGTGATCCCAGTGATGCGTCGGTCCACCGCTAACTGGGCCAGGCAGCAGCAGCTCGGGCAAAGGGCTGTTCCAGACTCAGTGGTCTTCGTGTTTTCAGCGGGAGCATGTACATTCCCTGCTATGAAGGCCCAGAGCTGAAAGAGATCCTCCACTTGAGGCGCAACGTCGATTCCTTGCAGCAGCAGACCTGGTCAGGCAGCTTTTTGGGAAGGACTTGGCAAGGGCAAGGGCGCTTGGCACCGAGGCTAGCCCACGAGCTGGCGAAGAAGTCTGGCTCTGGCAAGCTAAAGGCGCTTGCCGTGGCGAAGGTGCCACGGGCTCTGCACAGCATGTGACAAGGTCGCCCTGCTCAATGGTGCCAACCGGAAGCTTTGCGGAAACCATTGGTTTCAAAGCCGGCACCTTCGACTTCGATCCTCGGCCTGGCCTCGTGGCTTTTCCGGAAGCGGCTTGAGGTGGGGCTCGCTACGCCATCGACGAGAACCTTCATCGTCGCTCTGCCAGCCTCCAAGAGTTCCGCAGTGTTCCTGAGGGTTTGGGCCGGGTCCCGACTGCGAGGCATCGCTTTCCAGAGCCTCCTTGCTGGTCAACTTTGATACGGAGCCGAGGCACTCGCAAAGTCTCCAGCTCAGCGGTGAGAGAGTTTTGAACGAACGAGGCCTCGCCGCACCACGCAACTTCAGGAGACCGTGAAGTGATTTGGCCGCACCTATAGAGCCCTAGGGCTAAGGAGTTGTGGAGGCTTCTCCCACTTGCTGCCCTGGATACTCGGGAGGTTCTTCAGTGGAACCGTGGTAAACTTGGCAAAGGCGAGGGGGTTTTCTGCCGCTGTCGCCTCCAAGAAGTCCCTCAAGCCCAACCCATGCAGAAGATGGAGCCGGAGAAAGTCAGTGCTGTCCAGAAGCAGGACCTGGAACTTGCAGTACTGCCAGCTTCTTCCCAAATGTGCAGAGAGCCCTGGCCTCTGCGAGCAGGAGGTGAAGCCGAAGTCTGCTCCACCCTCCAAGGCCCGGGCTCGGGCCCTCAGTCTTTGAGCGGATTTGATGCCTTGACTTTCGCTAAGGCCAAGGCGGCCAAGGCTCCGGACCGCAGGCCCTTCTGCCTCTGTGGCCGAGCCAAACCACAGGATCCCATGGGTTGAGGTTGTCCATACGACTGCGCTGTCTGTGCCTGCGAGGAGCGAGCCGAGGAGCAGCCGGAGATGGTTACAGGTACAGTTTGATGCATTTTGGTACAAACGCATGACGTTTGGATTGGATGAGTCAACGGCGGGATGCCAATGCTTCCTGTCATCAAGATGTCGCGCAATAGCCGTGAGACATCAGCAGCGAAATTCGCTGACACCATTGCATGTCAAAAGACATTGCTGTTGCTTGGGTTGTCGGGTGATGTGGCGCAAAGTGCCGGTCACTTCAGGAGGACCGATCTTGCCCAGACTCTTTTAAAAGGCAAACAGAGGTGCCCGACGAACGACGTCTATTGACATGTTTGAAGCTTTCAGTTCGTGAATTGATACGTCGCAGGCGGACCAGACGGAGCAGTGAGCCATCCGGAAAGCTGAGTGGTGGACGTCAATCGCCCACAGGCAGGTTTTCAAGAGACTACCAGTTTGCTACACAAGTTACAGTAGGATATTACAGATAGCATCGCAACCCCGTCAAGCGCAACAATGCTGCGAAGCTAGAGAAACCTGGACGACAACGCCGTCCAACCCTTGATTAAAAGGCCGACTGGAGCTGGGCCTCTCGCTGACTGATCTTCGGCTATTACGGAAGCTACCTGTGGTCTTCATGCTGCATTTGCACTTATGGAGACTTGAAAGATTAATGAAATGGCATTGTGGCTCAAGCTTTGCTGTTTAGTTTCTCAGGATCAGTGGCAGAACCCTGCCAGGTATTCCAGCTGACATTGCCTCCTTGCTGTGCAACTTGACGACTGTCTGAGTCGAAGTCAGAGCAGGCGCTTCCTGAACCCTAATGGTCAGGACGCAGGTTACTGCCTTAGCACCAGTGACATCCAGTGACCATGCGGATTACAGGCCTAACTTGACTGATGCGCTGAGGAGTTTTCTGCGCCAGGAATTCTGGGACGAAGAAGGCTGGTCGATCAACAAAGATGCAAGCACAGATTGTCTCACATGTGTGCGAGGCATGTGCCTGGCTTGCTGGCAATGGGCCGAGCTGCGTCATCCCAGAGATGTTCACAAGCAGTGGGGATTCGCTTAAGGTGATGGGAGTGTTCGTCGCGATGGGTGTGGTCGTGGGCTGCAGTAGGCCCTGACCCTGATTGATTCGCCTGCGATTGACCCACGACTTAGAAGGCTTTCCGAATTGTTCTGACAAAACTTGCTGTGCTTTTGCCTCGTCTCAGTGATTTCGTGATGGTCTGAAAGAGGCCATTCTCCTGGAGGCATGCAAGTAATCGAAGGGTCTTGTGTTGCAGGCATACAATGGCTTGGACCGGCTGCCCACCGCGACAGGTCTTGAAGGCCGTGGGTCTCACTTCGTCGAATGTGCAATTGAAGCATTGGTCATTGCCGGAGACTACGCGAATAGCCTAGCTTCAGGTGCTAGAGCATGTGCTGGAGCATACCTGAGAGCAAACAAACAAGCACACGGACACACGCGCACGCACGCACACGCACACGCACACACGCACACACGCACACACGCACACACGCACACACGCACACACGCACACACGCACACACACACGCACACACACGTACACACACGCACACACACGCACACACACG